ATGTCACCTGCTCATATCCCCAAAGATAGCAGCTAGTAGATCCCAAAAGTCATTTTTTCTCTGATGAGGTTAAATTTACACAAAGGGCCCTAGCACTTCCCCAGATGAGGAAATATAGTTATCTGAAGAAATGAGGAGAGGCATAAGCAACTATAATTCATGAAGCTTCCACCAAGTGAATATATAGTTAATTGTGAAACGGTGACAGGTTATATTGAAGAGAGTGTTTCCAAACCCCTGAAGTGCAAGAAAATTGGTTGAGTTTCCGGTGCAACAAACAATAGAAATTTCATATTATCTGGACTATGATTTAGAGCTATTCTAGATCTTGGTTAATAAACTCACTGGTTCTGTGCATTTTAGTTTTATCCCCTAAGAGATATACCCCATAGGCCTTATAGTTCAGTAACATTTAGTTAAAAGAAATATTTTGCCTTAAATTCTAATTTTTAGTATTTCTGTTTGAAGTTTGTTTCAAAATAAATTTAGCTAGAAGTGAAGGATTTTTCAGAAGACAAAAGTCCCCATATACTTCTAAAAACAACTAAGGGAAGGCAAGTGCCCAAAGACTTACTTCATTCTCTAAATCTAAGGAAGTAAATAGCACCTCAATCTCCATTTTTTATCCTGTTGTTGTTGATTAAATGAATGCCCAGTCATTTTTAAAGAAAAGATTAAATAAAGACCATACTTTTTTCTGAAAAAAATCTATTACTGGACTCATTAATTGAAACAATAAAGATACGAAATAATAGGACTAGACCTGTGCCCTTGGCAACTCTCTTAAGACTGCAAGATGTACAGCAGGTGGTGTTGACCTGCATTGGTAGGATGAGTTTTCTTAATTGGCAGGTAACCCTATCTATACCAAATGAAACCACATATTAGCTATTTAGAGCTAACAAATTTAAAATTGAAAAAATAAGGTCATACTAGCAGTCCACTGTTTTCTTATTGCTCGGATCAACTCAGAACTGGGCTAAACCCACCATAAAATAGTCAAGATAGCCATATCTTTTTACAGCAGCATAATTTTACTTCTGACCTAACAAAGAGATTTGTGCCTCCCCTTGCACATTTTCTTAAGGTTTATGTTTGGGGGGAATCAGAGGAGTGACAGCAATATGAGGAGCTCTCTAGTCATGGGGATGTGATGGGGCCATGAGATATAGGTCATTGTTTGGAGGAAATGATACCGTCTTAGAATAACATTATACTTTGTACTTTCGTTCTTTGTGTTATATCTTTTCTCTATGAAAGACTAAACTCCATGGGTGCTAAGGCCTTGCTTTGTTCACTTATGTATTAACCTAAGCACCTTACATATAACAAATATTCAATAAATATTTGTTAAAAGAACTAATGAATGGAGGAATATGTTCCATACCTTGATGACAAGAGAAACTATTCAGTGAATCATAGATTAATTTTCAAAGAGCTGCATACTAAGGGCTGTGTAGGGGGCAATTGGATGACCATGGTCCAATTAATTTGGATGTAGAGAAATGGATTTGATTTGCAAGTTCTTTCAAGTTGTTACTTTCAGGTGGATTTGAGTAAATGAAATTTCACAGAAAGATGCTCAGCTTCAGGATGCTTTTAGGTAGGGTTCTCACAAACAACAGCACTTTAACTTAAAGGGTTTTTATTATTTTAATCTGGGGTTTCAAAGAATGTTACAAGCATGAATCCTCACAACATCCCTGTGAGGTAGGTCAATATCAAATCTAATGCAATGCAGCTACTAATTCTACCTCAAAGTGTCAACTTGAAAGGATCTGCAAGTCATGGAAACTCACTAAACTGGAGTCACCCTTGTTTGCCATTTTTAAGCTTCATAACTTTGGTATATGTTGCTTCCAGACTCTTTTAAAATGTTCTTTCTGGACTCAGATGGGCGAGGAACAGCAGAAAGTACTAGTTCCATAGTTTGAAAAATGCAATTACATATCACATTTTAATATGTTACTTTTTCAGTTTACATATTATACACAGAAAGACACAAAATAAACATCCTTTGGTATTACTCAGGATAAAAACTGGGCAAAAAGAAGAGATAAGCTTAAGAGTTAGCTGGCAAATCCCATCATCTTGTCCATTATCAAGAATATCCTGTTCCCAACCCACCACCAACATTCAGACTTGGAAATGTCAAAAGGAAGATTCCACATGGATTCCATTTGTGATGAGATACATAATGGAGAGAGAGTTTTTGCAAGTAAATGGGACCTGATTTCTCATATGTCTTTAGAGATGAAAACTTAGAGGTGTAGGATCAAACACTGTCCTGCAGAGGACAGAATGTGCATTCGACTCTCTTGCTCAGCAGAGGTCCTGTTGTAGGAACTCCCAAAAAACTTTCGAGAAATCCTTAAACTGTTATGCCACCAGATGGTCACACAGACATGGTTCATCATGGAGAAATCAGCAAAAGACAGTATCATTGTAGTGACTATTTCTAGCCTTTTATGCCCCGGGGAAAGTTGAACAACATATCTTTCTGACTTGAATGAAAAAAGGGATGAAGGGGCAGCTGCCATATATTGAAACATGCCTTAAAATTACTCATAACATCTATGGCTTCCTTTGTTAAATGAAATTATTGTCAAATAATAAATGTCATTTGTTTAGTGTCCTCTTCTTTCTTTTATTAAAAAAACAGGATTTCTTTTGTCTCTGGCTCTGAAAAGTCATTAACCCAAATTGATCATTTTTGGGGAAATTCATTGGTGTGATTTATTTAAATTTGCCGAAGAGGATCAACGACAAGGGTATTCATTTGCTTTGATAGAGATCCTAGGAAAAGAATGGCCCTCTTAGGCTAATTCCAATTCAGACAAGGATATTCACCTTCTAGAAGACATGGTAATGATGATCTCTAAAAACAGGTAAGATGGAGGGAATGGGATGCTCCTACAATGTACTGGGATTTGTTGGGAGCAAGATTGCTTCCCGTGAAGATGCTGAAGGTGAGGTGGGCCATTATACCTAGCCTCCAAGATGAAAATAAAAAGGCAAGACGGACGCATTAAATCTGCTGAAATAGAACTTGTAAATTTGCTTAAAATTTTAGGCAATCAAAATGCCACACCCATGCCAACAAATGGCAGCCAACAGAAAGCAAACATACAAAGGAAATTTTCTTGGCTTACGTGGGTTTGGTGACATTAACCAGTAAAAAGCAACAGTAGATTCCAGTAGTACAATGGGGAATTTCTTGTTTACAGCCAGCTTGTATGGAGCTGGAGATATACCAAATATTTTGCAAAGTATTTCTCATCAAGAAATTCAAAAGACAGTCACCGTGTTCTGATGTATTGGTCAAGTTCCAAATTCAGCCAATTATGTGGTCACATACTTGACCACATGGAGAAGTATGGTTTCATACCATTAAAATACCCCCAAAAACCAGAAAACTGCCTGAACAAGGTGTATTCAATTGAGTAACAAAATGTTGCTAATGCTGTCCGTTTTGAGACTCTAAAAGCTACTTCGTCCATTAGGTACTGCTTTGGATGATGCTACAGACTTTAAAGCGGTTAAGTGAGAGGACACCCTCCAGGTGTTAAATTCCATGAAGATAACGCCAAGAGTCTCCTGATGAAAGTGCTAATTCAGGAAGTCACTGAACATGAGCAGGTGCTCTATGGCACTAGCGCCTTGAACAGGGATCCTGTAAAAGATGACATGTGTGTGAAACAAGGTCCTACCCTTTGTGCTAACCTTGGTCTATTGTAAAAGGGTTGGGGGAATGGAGAAGGAACCCAATATAGGTGAGAAACAACATTTTCTTTGTGCTGGTTAATAAATGCCAGTGCAAGCAAAATGAATACCAAGCAAACAAGCCCTAACAATGCTGATAATGCCTTACACAGAGAGTAGGAAAGTTAATCAGGAATTCTGAGGAAACATGATTCTCATTAGCCTGACGTTTTGAAGTGGTGATTGGTCTTGCCCTCCTGTCATTGTCCCCCCCTTTTGTGAGACTGGAGTCTAACTGGAGTCTGACTAAAGTTTCAGTTTTAAACACACTTTTTCATTGGGGAAGGGAGGGAAAGAATCCCTTCTTTTCTATAACCTGTCCCAGATTTGAACACAGATGAATTCCTAAAATATCAACGCAGTCAGTTTTCTAAATTTTGCCATTAAGTTGTTGGTAGGAAAAACTATTGATTTGATTTGGAACAAGAATTTTGTTCTTCTTGCTTTCTAACATTTTAATTGGTAGGGGTGTAGTAGAAGGACAATTAGAGTAAGAGAAAGGGAACTCTGGCGGCAGATGGAAATAGTACACACAGCTAAAACTGTATGCATCATTATAACCACAGCATGTTGAAGGGCCTGGGGTAATATATTTTTCCAAACTAGAACAGAACATAATAAACAAATGTGTTGTTCATAGTTAATAACCTTTTGTGGTTATTTACTCGTCCTTTAATGACCATCCTCTAAATGATCAAATCTTGTGAAATATTTTAAATTGCTGAAATTTTAAAAAGACCAATTTTGGCACGAATGAAATTATATGTTTTCTTTCTCGCAAAACATTTCATAATATTTAATTGAACAGTTTTTTTTAAAATTTCTAATACATGTGTTTGTGTATGTGTATATATATGTGTAATATACATTTAAATACTTGCAAGCAAATATGTATACACATAGGTATTCATATATAGCCACATATATTTCTGAAGAGAAAATATATAGCCTGGAGAAATGACAAGATAGGAAGGCTGTGATGTGATTAAAGAAGAATGATAGGAAAATGAGAAAAGAAAAGAGCAGAATGGGTAATGCTAAGTGGGTAAATCATGGAGATCCTCACGTGTGCCATGAAAGCAGTACTCATGCACACGTACTTTTCAGATTCATAATTCTCATTTCCACCTTCACTTTCAGTGAACTACTGAGCGACTAGATTAAAATAACAACAACAACACAACAATAACCACAACTACACCACCACAAAAGAGAGAATTGTTTTCATTATATCTTACTTGAGCTCTTGTGAACTGGTGGCCAGCATACTTCGAATGCTTTTGTCAGCCAAAGGGCAGCCAGAGAGACTGTAAGACAGGTCAGGATATCCAAGTAAGTCAACCCTCTAATAAGCTCAAACTTCCCAAACAAACACAACATAAAAAATAAAAAAATTAAAAAGTTTAATGCAGAAAAGCGATGGGGCAAGTGCTGTATATTGAATTTTTGTATTGTCAATTCTGGATATCTTTCAATGTGAACTTTATGGAATATGTCAGATAATGATTTTTTAAAATTAATAAGATAAAATATGCCATCCTTTTGGTTCAATGTTTAAAAATACTTTGGAAGTTTTCAAGATGTATTTAGTACTAAAAGACATTATACAACACACAGGTTAGCATGCTTTTGAAGGTCAACATATAGCACTTAGAGGGTTAACACATAGTTCAACATTTTTACTTTGACAGCATTGTTGAGGTAAGCTGAAAACAATAAATTGAAAAGACAGAATCCACCATGAAAAAAATGAAGTCACACCTTCTATGTGAGGCGTAATTACCAGTCACATGACCACTCCCATCACACCCTGGTGTTGGACATCTGCCACCAAACAAAAACAAAAACAGCCAAAATAGTAAGTATGTTTTTTAAAAAAAAAATAAATTAAAGAAAAGAAAAAAAAACTTTTAAAAAGTTTCATTGTTTCCAGTTTAGCTGCAATGTCTGCATGGGAATTTAAGCACCCTAAAGAAAAGCTGCAAAATGAACAGGATTAAATGAAAAAAAAATGGCATTTCCATACACTACAGCATAGTTAAGAACAAGCAAAATACACATTAGCCTCTCACTTTACTGAACTCGCAATTGGAAACATTTATATGCTGCGAATGTCGCATGCTCATACGGCAAGGCATGTACAGATTCAATTCTTTAAAATAGTCCAAAGAGGGGAAAAGGTTCAGAAGAGAAAAATAATTTCACCTCACATTATGCTTACGTTATTAAATCCTTTTTGCTTTCTTTGCATTGAGGATACTTGGGCTTGGGGCTGGGAATGGTCACTTCACCGGGATACCTTCTTTCCTCTAGTGCCTCCTGGAAAGGGTCCAAATCTTCTGGCTGCGGGCAAACAGTCATCTATAAGGCTCATGTGGTAAAGACTCAAATAGGCCACAGAATGCAAAGTGCCATTAACAAATATATCCTATTTTCTAATTATGTGATTCATCAACATACCCAAATCTTCTAACCGTATTTAGAGGCAGCTTGGACAGTGTGCTGTCTACTTTGCTCCAACTTTTGTAATGCTAATAGTTTCTTTGCTTCCTTAAATTCACTTCTGAAAATGCAAATTGGACTTTGTTCAATGAAGGTTACTTTTTTTTTAAACTGTGATAAACTATTCTATCAACTGATCTAACTCCCTAAATACTGCAAGCTACTTGGGAGCAGTGACTCTGTCTCATACTTTTTTTGCATAAGCACATATATGCTATAGTTCAGTGGACTGAGTCTTAGATCTGAGGTCAGGAGACCTGATTCTACTTCCTGGTGTAAACCTGGGCACCGCAATTCAATGCAATGCAACACACCTATTCTACATAGCATAGGCACTGTATATAAAATGGGGATAATAAAACTTTACTACCTAGGGTTGTGAGGAAAGTGGTTTATAAAACTTAAAGTGATATAAATATGTATATATGTAATATGTATGTATTATCAACTGGATATCTTTCAATGTGAACTTTATGGAATGTCAGATAAGTTTTAGAAATTGATGACATAAAATATGCTGTCCTTTTGGTTCAATGGTGTGTGTGTGTATACACACACATTATATACACACACACATATATATATAAGTATATGTATGTATGTATATGTAGACACACACACAGTAGTTTGGTCCTTTTTTAGACACTTTCAACTCTTTGTGACCCCATTTGGGGTTTTCTTGGCAAAGATACTGGAGTGGTTTGCCATTTCTTTCTCCAGCTCATTTTACAGATAAGGAACTGAGGCAAACAGGGTTAAGTGACTTGCCCAGGGTTACAGAACTATTAAGTGTCTGAGGCCTAATTTGAACTCATGAAGATGAAGATGAGTCTTCCTGACTCCAGACTTGGCACTCTATCCACTGCACCAACTAGCTGCCCCCACCACCAGCCCCTCCACATGCACACACACATTACTGCCCCATAGCATGTAATAATCCTGGGCATATAGCACATTCTCAATAAATCTTTGTTTTTGGACTGATCTTTAATACCAGCAAAAATGCTTCATGTCATTTCTCGTCTATCAAGATTACCCTTAACATTTAAAACCAAAAAATATTTTGTAGTTGGGTTTCAGCAAAGGAGGGGACACATAAAGAAGTTAGAAACAAATGAGTGCAAAGTGACTTTACATACTTATGGCCCAAAGATTCAGAACCAAGAAAAGTCTATTTGTGGATTGTTTTGAATTTTAAAATTATTTTTACACAAGAAAAGTATCATGGTATAATGAAAACCAAAAACCAAAAATCATTGGGTTGAGAATTTAAAGTCTTGGGATTTATTCTTGACTCCAACTAGCCACAAGACATAAAACAGGTCACTATCCCAATGGGGCAATGAAGTTGATTGAAAAGGGCACTAGACTTGGAAATGGAGGGCCTAGACTGGAAACCTAGTTGTTAATACAGCTCTAGCAAATTCATTTGGTATTCACTATATACCTGCTATATGCATGTACTATGATAGGTACTGTGAACAAAGATACAAATGAACAGTCTTTGCCCTCAAGGAACTACATTCTACTGTGGGTAAGGGGGAAGATACATAATATATACACAGACATATAAATACAAAATATATTTATTAAATAAATAAAAGGTAAAGTTGGGAAGAAGGGGCTACTAACAACTAGGTGGTTTTGGAAAGCTCTGTGTGAAATAGCATCTCAGCTGGACCTGGAAGAGAGAGATGGATTCCAAGAGGTGAAAGGAAGGAGACTATTCTAGCTGCTGGAATAAGAGAGAGCCTCTACAAAGGGCTGGAGGCAGGGATGTAATAGTGTGCCCTTTCTACCTCTGTCAACTTATACAAAAGTAATTTAACTTCTTTAGGCCTCTTAAGTTCTCTTCCAGATCGAAATCTATTTTCCTCAGTTTCATCACCTTGTAAAATGAAAAGGTTTAACTAGAAGATATCAAGGTCCTTCCCACTTTTGAAAGTCTAGGGTTTTTAGCTTCTGAGAGAAAGTACCTACTTTCACAAATGAAATAAATGTGTGACTGTAGTAGTCAAGAAATTCCTATAGATGGCAATGTAAGATGCATTTAAAATCTGTGCCTTATTTAAGCAAAGATGTTCCACAAACACATGCAGAGTATATGTATTATTTTTTTTTACTTTCTGTGACTATGTACAGTGTGCAAATAGTTCTGTCATTTAAAAGTGGTCTCTTATTTAAAAACAATTGGAAATAAAACTGCCATTTCACATTTGGAAGAAATGATTTCACACCGTAAATGCTACTAAATATAGTTTGCCATTCAGATTCAGTTCTCTTTAACAATAGCTTAATATTTAGAGCCAAACTGAAGAATAAGGAAAGCAGCCTGGCTGATTAAATAGCCATAGAGACAGCTTCTCAGGGAATCCTCACAAGATTCAAATTTCTTTTTTTTTATGTGGAAAAGATATCCTTACTCTGGCACTGGTACATTTCCTTTGTTTTTGAAAAGAAACCTCCATTTCCAAGGGTAGAGGAGACACAACCAGTCCAGTAATACACAACATTTCTTCATTTCCTTCTCACAACGAAAGGTTCTTATAACCTGGATGTGGAGATTACAACTGTGCTTTGAAAAAGTTACGGCCCTGAATTACACCTTACTGTGTAACTGCTGTTAAAAACGTCTTAAAAGAAGGGTGTATTTATTAAAGGCTTCAGCATGCTGTTTTGAGTATTTTAAGGTTTTTTTTTCTTCTTTGAGAATAGGCAAAGCCATTGGATTTAGATCCAGATGGAACTTTAAAGATAACATTTTTTAACCTCCTCAGTTTATAAGCCAGGGAACCTTAGTTAATAGAATGACTTGCCAAGGGTCACACAGGTAGTAAGTACCTATCGAAGTGGAGAGATTCACCCAGCTCCTCTGACTCCAAATTCACTGTTTTTCCACTATGCCAAGCTGACTCACTTACCTTTGCAGTGCTGACAAAAATATGACATGCTTAATAGACATTTAAGTATACAAGAGATTAATTTAAATCCTCTACCTGAAAAGAAAACCTGGTATTATGTAAAAATGTCATTCTGATCATTTTACTTATGCAGAATGTGTTTATAAATTAAATTATAATTTTGGTGTGAGAAAAATATCTGCTAAAATGCACTGGCTAAAAAAATACAATTCACAGATAAAAATACTGTCTGATGAGTTTTAGATACAGCCACAGCGGTACTAACAGATTTGGAAGGACTAACCAGCTAAGGAAACGATTTATTTTCTCTTCACGCAAACACATGGCATTTGACTCGCTTTCAGACAGATTCTAAAACCACGTGATCTGAAATAATCAGGTTGCAATGAGCTGCTCTAGATGAAAAAGACATACATTAATCTCTTTGGAATCATCTTCATCTATCCTTCTGGGTTTCATTTTGGTGTAATCTACTGGCAAGTCCCAGCAGTCACCCTCATTCAGTTGGAAACACCGATTGTTCATCACCGCCTGTCGCTGTGGTGACATTGGCTCTAGAGGTGTCAAAATGGTACAGCACCCATCCCGTTGTCTCTGCTTGTTCATGCTTAGATCCAAAGTTCCATTTTCATCAACTTCCATATCAGGATTCTGTCAGAAGAAAAGAAACATTGTTAACCAACTTAAAAGAGATAAACAAATCAAAGCCTTAACCTGTTGCCTCTAAGCATCTCTTACAATGAATATTGCATTAAATGATGTAACAGTTACTTTAGAGTTCAGGCATTAAGTCTCCTCCCCCATCCTTGCAGAAGTGTGTTATATAACATAACACTGATATAGAGAGATAGGGCTTAGCAATTCTCTACCCCCCAAACACAGGTGTGAAATTAGTCCCATATTTTTAATAATTTTTTTCTGCTTCCTGACTTACTGGGGTAGAGAGGGGTAAGCAAGATTTTCAAAATGAACATCTGCTTTAAGTTGATTTCAGATTTAACATCTGATTAAGTGATCAGCTTAGTAGCTAACATCAGTTTTTTTTTTCTTTCTAAAAAGCTGGGTATTTTTGCTATCTTAAAACTAATAGTCCAAGAATGGAGGGGGGAAGATGGGTTGGAACAAAGATGAATATTTACAATTTCCTCACTAAAACAAGTTTGCTAGTTCAAAGAAAAGAGAACTGCTTTTACAATGGATAATACTCCTATGGATTAAGCTCCCACCTATCATAACTTCCTGAAGTATGCTGCCTTGTTTGCTCAGGAAAAGCAAAAAACAAACAAAAATTAAAAAAAAAACCACCCTTCAATAACAAAAACTTGTACTGGCATTACTTACAGCAGCTGATGAACTGTGAAGTACAGGGTGATAGCTTTGTTTTTTTTTTTTTTAAATAATGCTTTGAATTAAATCAAGAATTATTTAGAGTTTGTCTTGCAGCATTAGGGGACGGGGGAAGATAATGGGAGAGAGAAAGGAGAGCTGGAAAGAGCAAGAAAAATAAGAATACCCACAACCCTTTTCCCTTTTTTTTTCTTCTAGGAGTGACATTCTCTTGAACAAAATTTTGATTTCAGAGCTGGTGTGAAAGCTACTGCCTACTCAAATGTCTAGCAGCTATCTCTCCTCTGGATGTAATAACATAACTGCAGGAAAGCACTTGGGATGAAAATCCTTCCTCTGGGTTATTACCTCAATAAATTATACGGTATCATTCTACTTGAACACCTTTTGTCAAAGCCCATTCCTGATTTCAGCTTTGATGCTAATTTAGGCCCAGTAATGTATTTATCCTCTCAAACCTGCCATTTTCATAAACTTAGTGGGGGTGGGGGACCTGGAATGAGGGTCATTGGATTTTTTCCCTCTACAGAATCTCTTCCATTCTAGTCCTTAACCTGTTCACCATTTCATCAGCTTCGATTACAATGCACACTATTTGCATGCCACAAGAGCCTCCCCAGTCTGTAGGATAAAAAGCCATGAATATAAAAGGAAGCATTTGAAAAGGTAAAGTTACTGACCTTTCGGCATGCATGCAAATTAAAATTATTTAAAAAAAACTACTCTTAGGGCTGTGAGCTCATTATGCATTACCAAGAAACTTTAAACAACAGGAGGATAAAAGAAATCTGTTTTTCTAGAGAAGAGCTAAACATGTCTGCCAGTTCAGCCCCTTGCTCTAAGAAGACAATGCTGTTTCCTCTGAAATGCATTTCTATCATAAGCCACCTAGTGGCCCTCGGAGGTAGCTCTTTGCTGGATCTCTGGCGCATTTCAAATACTCATTTCCCTTACTCCACTGTCCACAGGAGAAATCAATCAATTTCCAAGGACCTCTCCATTCCATTACCACTCCGCCCCCATTCAAAACTTCATATCACCACCTCAATACCAGACTTGCACAGCACTTTAGCGTCTGTAATGGTTTTGAATACTGAATGCTGGTGATGGTTGACTTAAAACGATGAAAGGTCAGTGTGCGCCCCACCTCCAATTTGTTTCACCTTTGTTTGCTGGGCACCGGTTAATGCCCTGAGGGAAAAAACCCACTGGCCCCTGTGGGGGCGGCGCTTTGAAGACTTTTTATTGTTAGAATTAGAAGTCATACCCACCGGCTGTTTTTTTTTTTTTTTTGAACTTCATCTAGCCTTTGCAGCCTTTTAAAGATGCTTCATGAAACCAGACATCTATGGAAGTAACAACAACAACAACAAAAAAAAAACCAACAAAAAAACCCCCAAACTTCTTTACTGAAATCTTGGGGACCATTTGAGAAGTTCTCTGTGCATACCTATAAAAACCTCCTATTTTCTATATCCCAAATATATATATAGTATATATATATTTTTTTTAATAATAGAGTGATTAATGCCTGTGGAAGCAAATCTGGGCTTTAAAAAAAAAACAATTTAAAGATACTTTGTATATACCGTTATTGGCCCCACAGATAAGCAAAATTAAAACTGCACATTCCTTTTACTTCCTCTCCTCCTGCCCCTCCCACTTTTAAAGGGCTAAACCTTGACCCAGGTTTCTCGAGGTACCGCTGGGGAATCTGCACCATCATCTTTTATTTATTTCACTGCATTCCGAAAGGTTTTCGCTTTTCATTGGGTGGCAGAGCCAGAGCACGAGGAGCGGTCTGGAAAGCCCATGCCTGTTCTGCCCGCATGCGTCGGTGCAGCGCGAGTAGCAGCTGCGGGGGACTAGCGAGGCGGGCCGTCGTTACCCGGGCACAGAGGTCCTGAGGTTTGGTGGAGAGGTTCTGAGGCATCTCCCGGCAGCGCGTGGACAGATTCAGGATGGCCGTGGCGGCCATGTGTGCTGCCTCCATGTCGTGCGTGTAATCAAAGCTGCTCTTGCTGCAGGTGCTACTGGCGCTGCTGCCGCCTCCACAACTCATGTTGCTGCTGCTGCTCGGGGCATAGCTGCTCGTGGTGCTGCTGGTGGGACTCGAGTTCTTGCAATACCGTTTAGCTGGAGAGACAGAGAAAATAGCCCAAGGGTGACCTGCGAGGAAAAGCACCCTCCGAAAATGGAGGAAAACAAAACAAAACAAAAAAACTCCACTCCCTTCGCCTCCCTCCCATCCCGTGCTTCCCACCATCCCACCCTTTTTCCACCCCCTCACCCTAGAAAGGGTGAAATAAACCAAAAGCAATTTCTTGGAAAAGGGGTAGTGGGGTGTGACATTCTTAATGGTATAAAATGGACTGATGCATAAAGAAAAAAATGCACATTTCCCCCTTCCTAGTGTATGTTTGGGAGGCCAGAGGTTTTAGAGGGACATTAAGAGACCATCTAGTCCAACACCTTCATTTTTAGAGAGGAGGAAACTGAGGCTCAGAGAGAGGCCAAGTGACCCACCCAAGGTTACACAGGTAGCATTCAAACTGGTACTAAGACTCCAAATCCATGGCTCCGTCTACCACACCGAAGCTGGACAATGCTTAACCCTTGCTTGGAACTGAAGATGGAAACATGCTAGGTATTGTATCGAGGAAAATAGGGCAGATCGCCCTGGTAAATGTAACTAGGTAACTGGAGGAGAAAGGGTGAAAGCAGAGATTTAGAATCAAGGGTCTTGGAAATTAATTAGACATTAATCCAACCCCCTCATTTAACAGAAAAGGAAACTAAGGCACAGAGAGGGGAAATGACCAAACTTCCACTCAAAAGTCAGTAGTAGGGGTGGAATTGAAATTCATGTCCTCTGAGTCAAAATCCAGTGCTCTGTCCATAATGTAGGAGGAATGTTCAGGGGATAAGAAGCAGAGAATAACGATTAAAACTAATACACATTCACAGCTTGGACACAAACTGCAATACGTATAGGAAACAAGCAACTGTGCCTGACAGTCTGGTTAGAGGCACAAGGGAAATGGGGCTTTCTCTTCACCTTAGAGGATAGCTCATAAGCTCATTTGGTGACTAGGACCTTCCCAGATCACTCATCTGTGAAGTGATTGGCTGGCCTACATACGAAGACACGGGGACTGCAGAGCGGTACCAGAAGCTCACTGTGATGACACGTCGGTGACCCAGATTCACAAGAGACCTAGGGACTGCTGTTCCTCGGGCCAGCAGAGACTGTGCCCTTTGTGAAGGTGAGGGGATGGATTTCTGGCTCAGAATGCTAACCAGGCAGTGTGACTGGTGAGTCTGTCTCCTTGAAAGGAGAGAGAAAATGTAAACGTTCATAACTGGCAAGAAAGGGCAAAAGACAGGAAGGGCAGAGGGAGGAGGAAACTACAGTCACATCTGGACACTAGCAGGTTCAAGATAGATTTCTAAACATGACTACTAAGTTACACTCAAAGACAAACTCTACCTACTATATCTGTCACAATCTTAGGATTTTAATTGTCTCCTCACTATTCTTACATTATACTCACCTTCATGGAAAGGCTTTTGTTTGCTTATTTTTTTCTTTGAAAACTCATCAGTAGCAGTCACACAAGCACTTTATAAGTACTATTAAAAAAACTTTAAAACTCCATTATTATGTGGATGAGAAAATGATGGAGACATGTCTTGATCAATGTTTTATGTCACTGAATCTCCTTGTACTACCATATTTTTCACATAAGTCATTCAATCTTCAAACACTGTGACGTGGTGAATAGAGCAATGGACTTAGAGAAAGGAAGACAAGTTCAAATCCTGCCTCAGACACTAGCAGTGTGGCCTTAGGCAAATCACTTAATTTCTCTCTCCTCACTTCCCTCATCTATATAATGGGGGGTGTGTGTGTTTGGCCCTTAAAGCCCCTTCCAGCTTTAAATCGATGATCCTATGACTTGTGTGATTTAGGACACAGCACTCAACCTCTGGTCCTCAGTTTCTTCATCTCGTAAAATAACGACTAGATGGCGTCCGAGGTCCTTTCTGGTTCTAGGTGTAGAATTCTGTAATTACACAAATCCCGAGTTCCCTTCCAACCCTAAAGTGTGTCGTTCTATGACTTGAGATCAAGTCCCAGATTCAAAACTTGTTCATTATGTGGCCTTAGACAATTCGTTTCCCCGTGACTCCATGCCATTAATTTTAAGTGGAGATAATACTTGTATTACCTTCTTACTGAGTGATTACGATGAAAATGCTTTGTAAACTTTAAAGTGCTATTTAAATGTAAGATCTCAATATTAATATATATTATATGGTTTAGGGTATTATATAGATATATGTCCATAAATATACATATATGTGTATATACACACAAATGACAACTCCCCCTCCCCGGCACACACACATATGGCCCAGAATTGTAATTTTATTGATGTAAGGATTTCCCAGTGAGGAAATTCCCTCTACTAATGCAGGTCAGCACTTGCTTTGCAACATATGGTCTTAGAGAGATACCTGGGATACTTGCAATTAAGTGACTTGCCCGGGGGTCGCAGTGTCAGTACATATTAGAGGCAGGGCTTTCTTCCCGACTCCTAGGCTAGCTCTCTATCCATTATGCAACATTACCTCTCATTATTATTAATAATTTTAATAAAATTTATAGCCAGAAAATGGGTATTTCTACTAAAGGCCAGATAAATGTCATAGATTCAGAGCTGGAAGGGAGCTCCCAGCTTCATTTGCAAGTAGAATACATGGTATTTACCACATGGTATGGTTTTGGGGATATTACATGAAGTACTCCTATTCAGAAATCTTCCCCCCTCTTATTCCTGAATTCCCATCATTAGAGTTATATTCATTTGTGTTCAGTGTTATCTAACCTTGTCAACATCTTTGAAAGTGTAAATACTCCTGGGAGTGATACCATATTCAGGCTCTAACATCCTAGTGTGAATGAGTTTTCTTATGTGACAGGAGTCATGGAGAAAGCATATGAACACTAAACACCTGGGAAGGCAGAGAGTACTGACAAGGGACAGAATTGAGTAAGGATTTGTCTCCTTTCCAGTTTTGCCCACAGCCAGGCCTGATCCTTGCTGTCAGAGCCTTGGACTGGAACCTGGCCACCTGCACACTCTCCTTCATGTCCTTTAGGCCATCACTAATGCCTGTACTGTGGGGAAGGCTGCATTTGCAATTGAAAAGAAGGAGAGAGAGAGAGAGAGAGAGAGAGAGAGAGAGAGAGAGAGAGAGAGAAAGAGAGAGAGAGAACTATGTGTCTGTAACACAAAGGACTGTCACTCTAAGGAGAGCAATCCCAGAGTCCTGCCCTTCAGTATTTCTCAGTGAGAACTGGAATAAACAATGTTTGTTGAGAGTCAGTGAGAAAAATGCCCTTGAATTATTAGGATTAAGGCTTTAGGATTAGGATTAAGTCAAGATATTATTGTGACAAGGTTTGATTCTTTTTGAATAGGTGACATCTTTCAATTTTTAAGAACATGGTACAGAATTTTCATATCAGAGTCATGCGGTGGATAGAGTGCTGGATCTGAGTCAGGAAGACTCATCTTCCTGAGTTCAAATCTGGCTAGCTGTGTGACCCAGGGCAAGTCACTTAACTCTGTTTGCTTCAGTTTCCTTATCTATAAAATGAGCTGGAGAGGTAAAAGGCAAAACACTCTAGTATCTTTGCCAAGAATATCCTAAACAGGGTCACAAAGAGTCAGACATGACTGAAATGACTAAACAATGACAACTAGATATGCCCTTCTATATATTATTAATCAATAAATCAATAAATATTTATTAAGTGCCTACTATGTGCTAGGTACCAGTCATATGATTTATATCAGAGGGAGCTCCAGTTGAAGAACTTGCTCTACTAATTCAGATCAGCACTTTCTAAAGCAACTTACAGCCGTAATGTGAGTTACTTAGGGGACTGGGAAGTTAAATGATTTCCCAAGGTCACACAGGCAGTATGTTGTTTCCTCTTTACATAAATGTATGTATATATGTCCCCAAAGTCTTAGTGCAGCCTAAATTATTTAACATATTTATCTGGTTTGGTTTTGTACTCTCTGTGTAGAAACTCAGATCCTTAGAGAGTTGCCTAGGGAAGTAACTAGGAAATTTGACTTGCCCATGTCATACAGCCACTATCTGTCAAAGGTAGGACTCGAACCAAGACTTTCCAGTCTAATTTCCAGATTGACATTTTACTCATTACACGTGCTGAATAATTCAATATCAAAGGGTTTGGAAAGAAAATGATAAGCAAGAACACTGGGCTAGGTTTAGTTGGAAAGAGTCCACTAGTATAGTTAAGTGAGGGGATAGAGGGATTTGAAATTAGAAGAAAGGCATCTGAGGTCCCGTGCAGTTCAGATACTCTGTGAGTCTGGGTCTAATTCTGGTTTTGTTTCTGCTGCCTATATGACTTTGAGTCTGGACTTCAGTGTCCTTATACATTTTCTACTTCAGGCTATATATACACACGTATATACACATATATGTTTATATGTATCTTGAAGTAGTATATGTGCATCTACTTATGTCTATATATACGTGTATATAATGTCTACTATGGATGACTAAATTAGAGCAATAAACTCCTCCCTATGAGGCAGGTACTACAGGTATTATTGATTTCCATTTTCTAGATGCCCAAGCTCTGAGAGGTTAAGCCACTTGCCTGAGGTCACCCAACCAGTAAGTGTTATACTTGGGATTTGAATTCAGATCTTTTTGACTTGCCTGCGGTCACCCAACTAGTAAATGTTATACTTAGGGTTCTGAACTCAGATCTTTTTGACATCAAGTCCAGTGCTTTTTCTACTTTTCCCCTCAAAGCTATTCAAGTGCTGAAATAGGTAAAGCCTCGAATATCTGGTTCAGATATTCATAAGATAAGGCCACAGAAACATGATAACCAGGGAGTACATGGTCCCAGGCTAGTATGGGACTATGGGGGGGTATATGATTAGGGGCCACCATGCTGAATGCCTCCTCATGAAACTCCATTTCAATTGGGAAATATAGGACAACTAAGAATATTGAGAGACTTGGAATTAACTACCTACTCTCATCCTAGACTGGTGCCACTGTAAGTACAATCTGGA